ACTCCCACTTTCGTGTAGGCGAATACATCCTGCAGAAAGCATGAACAGTGGTGCAGAAGGAAGTTATTACTCTGCTTTCAGATTCCCTTACGTGAGTGAGCATTGCTCAATAGAAAAAAAACTTTACAGAAAGAACATGAATACATTTAAAAGCAGATTGAAGTAATTGAAATTTGGCTCATCAAAAGTTAAAAAGAAGACATGCAAAGCATCAGACATATTTAGAAGCCATAAACCTTAGGCAGCATAGAAAGGGTTAGAATATACAGCAACAAATAAGATGAACTTCCAGCCAGAGTCTGGGAAGTAAGATTTGTTCCTAGGCCTTAGGCCACAAACAACAAAATGCTTCTTTGGGGGAATATTCCATTTCTGGAATGGAAAAGCAATACTTTTGGGGCCCATCCCTTCCTTGCTGGTTCAGGGCTCAGCATCTGTGTGGCTGAAGACAAGACAGGGAGAGAGGAAAGTGAGAATTGTGTGAAAGAAGAAAGTTTCTGCATTAAGTTACTATGGAATTAATAAACTTTGGCTCTCAGATACCGTGGTGAACACCATTGCAGAAACACCAAAGGATGGAATGTTTAATAAATAAATATAAGGCCAGATTCTGAGAACATTTACATGTGAGTAACTTCACTAATACATGTAGTTCCACCAAAGCCAGTAGAACAGCTTGCACGAGCCAAGTTATTTCTAAGTGTGTTTGTATGACTGCCCATAAAAAGGAAAGGTCATCAGGTGTTTAATAAATTAAAGCTGTTCAATTTCCTTCTTACATTTGTAAAAGGACCAAAAAACCCTCTTATTTCCCTTGCTTCACAAATAAAATTTGTTTGGGTGTTTTGACCCTTCAATTAGAAAGGTGCAGACTTACATTGGGCCTGTTTCCAAAAGCAGCATAGAAAGGCTGTTTATTCGGCACAAACAAGTTCTTGATATCATTCAAACACTCGATTTTGAACTTTTCAGGCTTCTTTTCTATCACTTCCCTAGAATAAAATTTGAACACAGTCACTGAATCCTAAAGCACCATTTCAGAGGGGTAATTCCCCCTATTCAACTGGTGTTTGCATTCTCACAGTACATTGTGTGGCTGAAATTTCCAATGTACAGATATTGTACCAACTGTAAGAAAAAGAAAAAAACAAAAACAATCCACTTGCCCAAGACCAATAAAACATTTTTTCCTTTACCGACAATCGCAGTAAAATGCAGGTCAACAGATTCTGCACTTGGGCTGGTAAATTTTCAAGCCATACCAAATTCATAACTGCTCTGACAAGGTCTCTGCCACCTCAGAGGATTATTTAAGCAGATCAGGAAAAATGGCAAGTGAGAATATGTAGAAACACATTAGGCCTATTCTCAGTCCTGCTCCCACTGAAGTCAATGGCAGTTTTACCAGTGACTATTGGTGGTAGAATTGGGGCCACTGCTGGATGCAACTTACTGTGTCAGTTCATTTTTATTTTACTTTTCTTAAGACTATATTACATTTACCTTAATTAGCTATTAATCAGTGACAAGTGATTAGTCTATTGAAGTTTCCAACAGTGATTGTCTCAGATATTTAGATAACAAATCTAGAAGGTTGAACATTTCTTGGTTCTTTGTAAGAAGTAATATTAATCATTACATTCTTGTTACAATGTAGAATTCCCAAGGTTCTAATACCACGCAATGTGGTAGTGAAAAGCTGGGAAATCCAGATTAGCTTGTGGAAGTTCAACTCTGCAGTTCTTGCAGCCATACTTCTCTGGACAGAATTTTACTGATACGTACAGAACCCTATGTTAAGTGTCAGTCATAGGATGGGAGGGAGAGGAGTGGACAAACACCTCCTTTACCAGACTGACATTTTACCTGCTGTAACAGCTTTTAATACATGCATATATGATCACAAATGTTACATTGCAAATGAAACGTTTTGGAATCAGCAAATGGCTTCAGGGGGTCATAATAAAGCCATGGGCCCTCTTCAGTTTGCAGGGGTAAAAATAAGAACAATGGTATAATGATAGTTCATAAAGCAGCCATTTCACTTAGTTCCTCACACCTTTTCTATTTATCTCTGCCCACTTCCTTGCCTCCTTAGTACAAATAAAATTGCCAATAAAATACCGATGTGCTTACCTATGAAAGGCTGAGAACAAGCTGCTGGGGGACAACAACAGGGGGCCCCTGGGTAGGATTGTTCCTTTGTCATTCACCCAGTGTAAGTACCCTCTTGTCATATCTGCCATTCCAATAGCACGAGCAGAGCAATACAGAAACTTGTAGCCATTCCTAAGGAAGAATATTCTGCTTAGTTTATATTCCAGCCAAAGAAATTTTTTGCCAAGATCCCTGTATTATGGTAGTGCCTAGAAGCACCAATCAGGGCAGTAACCTCATTGTACACTCACCATGCACAGGTAGAGGAGGTTGTTCCTAATTTGAAGAGTCTGTAATAATTTAAAGATTCAAAAAGCAAGCCTAATAGAGAAGGGAAAAGGAGAGCAGATACTAAGTACTAAGATCACACTTTTACAGGTTAGATTTATGCATAAATCTAACCTGTAACAGTGTGATCTTAGTACTTAGTATCTGCTCTCCTGGTGATTCTGGATAACTGGCAAAAAAATTAATTTTGTAAACAAACCTATATCCAACTCTCATTCAACCCCCTCTATTAGTTATAGCAATTATTTAAACGTGCATTTGCAGATAAGGACTCCATTTCTGGATATTAAAATGTTCTGCTGTTGCTTGTAGGCAAAAATATTTGGTTACAGTATGTCACATCAGAACTGCTGAACAACAATGAGTTTTCAGTAAATCTCTAAAAATGCTTCTGCAGACTTTGCAGACATGTCTATTCATATGAAAAAAAGCTGCATTTGAGCATGTTCACTGTGTTGGTCTTGTGTGTGCAAGTGGATGCAAGTGCATTTTTAGAGGCCTGATGAAATTTGGCTCACAATGCCAAGATTACTGCTTCCAATGCATAAGATATTGAAGTTCTGCCCAACTCCCACTGACAATAAGAAGAGGCAACTTTTGGCCCTTTGCATTATATCTGAGGTCAACATGAAGGTTCCAAGGCCTCAAATCTAATCTGTCAAGGCAATGATTCTAAACTTCAACTTAAAAGAATCCATTAAAAATAAATTATTTGGAAATATCCCCAAACAATTACTCATCTTGTATCCCTCAGGCACAATACTAAATGCAGTTAAATACTATTCCCAGGGCTGCCGGTGAATAATGGTGCTGTCAATATGTTTTTGAAAAGTGTCTGCCACACAAAGGACCAATTCAGGAGGGAAAAAGATATTTGTCAAGTTAACACATTTAAACAATTTAAAAGATTACTAGACTCTATGCTTTTTAAATAACTGAACATTTTTAAGAAGCAGGATTAATGTACATCTGGAGTTCAGTAACGTACATGTATAAAATTATGCAAGATATAAATAGCTGAAAGCACACAGTTTAGGCCCAACACTTAACTATTTTGTAAAAGTTATTTGAAATGTAAGTGTTTTCATGATTCTTTTAAAGTATAACAGACACTCACTGCAATCTGAAGAACAGTTACAATTCTATTTCCCAAACAGCACAACAGTTAAGAATGTCTTTAGAATTTCTGTTATAAAACTACAATTTTTAAAACTAAAATCTGAATCTGTTCCTTGGAAATACAATGGAAAAGACCAAATTACCAGGGAAAGTGGTAGTTGATGGGCAAAGCAATAGCACGTGTTTTAGAAAGTTCTGTTAATGTAAAATAATTTAGTTTGTAGCAGACAACTTATTTTTCGTTATTTAGGTCATGAAAAGGTGGTCTAAATCAGAAACTCAGTTAATCTGATTAATTTTAATTCTGTTAGTCAGTAATCCCAAATACCCGGTTGCTTCAAAGTAAGACACATACTCATTGATGGAATGGTAGAGTTTTGCAATGCCTTGATGGGTCCAGTCCTTGCCAAGCTGTGGGAGAATTTGTCCTAAGGCATCAGACCTAAAAACAAGTATACAAGGAGAGATTTTGCATTAAAAAAAATACATGTCATTGAATTTGTTTTGCAACAAATATTTGTGGAAGATTCAAAGAATCTCTGTGCAACAGATTCTAGAGGTTACGGCAAAGCTTTGGTAGCTAGTCTGGATTGAGCCATTAGTGAGCCCACTATGCAATAGCAAGCCACTACACCCAGTCTCAAGCTACCCACTGAACTGGAGGGGAAAAAATCCAGAATATCACTGAAAGCCACCGGTGCTACAATTATATTCTTTCAAAACTCTCATCATAGATTACTGTAAGTAAAAGTACAAATTACAATCAAAGAACACTGTAATCAGCAGTCTTTCACTGGGATTCTTACTATGATGTAAATTTAGAGGACAGGCTGGATTCAAGCTCCCTTTGAATCACTCTTTATAAGCTCTTCAGAGGAGGGTGCTATAAACAAATATCATCCAAAATTTAAATAAAAGCAAAAATGATGTAATGGTACTTGCTTTGTTATTGTTCCATCAATATCGGAGATGATGATTTTGTCATTCCAATTCCAGAGGTATATTGTTCCTGCGCAGCGGCAAGTACCTTGATATTGGGTTGTAATACTGAACACAACATCATTTGGACCATCTTTGAGCTTCAATTTTGCCTTTAAAATAAACCAAAATTATTAAAGTGTTTTGCATAGTTAAGTTATAACTAGCAAAAGAGCTACAGGAAATGTCGTGGGTGCTCATACACATCTACTTGTGTGATCAGATTAAATATAATTTGTAATTATATGTTTATTGTGTCCTCAAATTAAAGCCATTGCACAAGAATCCAATGTTAGCTTGGTGCACTATCCAGATACAACAACCCACCCTCTTGCCTACCAAAAGAAACAATCCTGGTAATTTCTCAACTTTCTCCTTCTGCCAGTAAAGGAACCTATCCTCAATTTTACTTTAGCATTATTCTACATCAGCAATTATCTTCTGAATTAAAAAATAATCAACGTATATCTCCTTCCTGAAAAATCCTTGTTATTCTTTACTACTGAGTTAACTTTCATTGATGTAAATAGACAAGATTGGGAAAGATACCATTTCTAGAGCTTCTAATTATATCTAAGTAGATGATAATGAAAAGGACCTAATTATGCAAGGCCATCTGTAATATCTAAATTTAGAATTCCTCAGCCATCTTTTGTTAATACTAATATGTGCCTCTTCCTTATCTAGAGAGAAATAGTTTGTTTTGTTTCTTGTCTACACTAGCAAAAATGGGACCAGAATTCAACATTGGTGGAGCTCCACTGATAGAATCTGTAGTGTTTTTACCACTGTGTCATCCAATTCTATTCAGAATAAGCCTGGATACAACAATAATAAAGATATCAGAGGCTTGACTGCATTGCAGCTTCCACTCCTGCGACTGTGGTGAAGTGACACCACTGATAAGTTATGGATCCCCACTTTTGCCAATGTGGATGCAGCCTTTATGTGATGTTATCCTTTCCTACTTGTATATGTCACTCTTTAAAAGGACAGAAATGGAAATTAAATTCTTGCCTTGATGAGAAAGAATGATCAAATATTTTGGGCTATTAGTGCATCTAAAATGAGTTAAAATTTAAGAATCACACTCAGAATTGGACAGGACTCCTGCACACTGCTTCAAATATGTGCAACTGGACAGTTATAAGAGTCAGTGGCATGGGAATTATAAGAGGGTGTAAAATATAATAGTATAAACGTTATTTAGCAATGTCCTGATATAGCGGGTTGACTATTTTCTGCAGAAAAAATATGGACTACAATTACCAGGATTATATTTGCTGGATGATTTTTCATAATAGCACAGAACTACACAGTCTTTTTTAAAAGACTGCAGCATTCCTAGATAGCACAAGAAAACAGAGGTCCTTTAAATCCGGTTGTTCCTTGTCCAAAGTGCTAAATGTGGGACCCCATATAAGTGATTCTGGTCCTACTTTATTTTTATTAGAAACTTAAGTTCAATGGTTACTGTAGTAAGTTTTAGTGAAAAACTCAATATGAAAAAAATAGAACACTTATCAGAGCTGCAACATGCAAAAATATACCACTTACTATTTGGTCTGAAGACAGTCTAAGTGACTTCTTATAAGAGATAGTGTTCCCATGGTTTGGATGTTCCACTGGGACAGAATCTATTTTTAGGGATTCTTTCAGCTCTTGTGACTCTTCATCACTAGAAGAATCATCTTCTGTCGGCCTAATATGACATCAACCAAAATAAAAGTAAGCTGCAGAAAAATTTTTGTATGCGCTTAAAACTCATGTCTTCTCATATGCGTAAGACCAATTATAAGTATCAAGATTTTCTGCTTGTATCAAGGATTTGCCACTGGCCTTGAGAAAATTAGCCCTTGAGGTGTACAGATTTAATCTATGGATAGAATGTGTATTTTTGGGAAAAAAAAAAATTAAAAAATGCCCACACCATCTTAATCTGGCTAAGCCACACTACGATGGTAAACTCAACTACAGATTAGTGAGGTTTGCAGTTAGCATGTTTCAGGGCTAGTGTATGCTAGTAGGGTTGGGAAGAGAAGTCTTGTAACATCTTGGTATTGGTGAAGCCTTGAAACAATGCTATTTACATTGGAGCTGACTACGGTTGGGTAGGGACATGAGACCTGTTTGTCACTACTGCTGTGCTATTGAACTAGTTACACCACAGATGAAGAGGGATATTGGACAGTACTTTATAATAATTCTTAATGACAGCTCTCTGAGAACCAAAGGTTAAAGGTGGGCTAATAAATTACACAATTTAGTGGCTAACCTCTAAAGATTACCTTGTATGTTTTTATTTCTTTGCCAATTAATCTAAAGTTTCAGGATTTAAAACAATTGGAGTTACATTTAAGTTTCTTGGGGTATTCTTACCACCATAGCACACTTATATACTTTCTTAAACCTTACTCTCATCCCTTCCTAAAATCTTGGAAGAGAGGCAAGGGGAATAAAACATTATGGGGACAGCCCGCACTAAACAGAAGTAAGTTTTGTGCTGGTTACTACTAGTCCTCAACTATTTCTTGGGTGACTGACTCATTACATTCAATACTATTTTTATTGTTTTGATTCTTATAGGTTACCAAAAAAAAGGGGGCATATTGTGCAAATCCACCAATGAACATTAGGATTTTATCATAAGAAACCAACAGACACCATACACCTACATATTCTCATATGATTTAAGGAGTTAGTATGCATAGCTAGTGCCTAAACTGTTTACTTCCACACAGTTTCTTGCGGAAGTGTTGGCCAAAACTATCTGTTTTTGTTTAGTAGCTCAGAGGAAACGTTTCTTCCCACAGTAAATCCCCATTGAATTCTATTGAGTCTGCAAAGGAATCTTCAGACAGGAACGCACCTGCTATTAACTTGTTCTTTTGTAGTTGCTGGCAGGTCATTTGTTCTTTGTGCCTCAGACTTACCCTCCTTTGCCTCTGGTGGCTAAGACAACACAAAAATCAAGAACATACCAACATTTTAGGCATCTGCACTGACAAGAACTCATTTAAATTTCAGACATAACCAAATAGCTATCATATAAACAGTAAATTTGCTACTCTATCTGTATGAGATACTCAAACTTGCTCATTATGGGGACTACTTCATAAGAGACCCGTTCATAGTACATTTCTCCTCAAAATATTTAATTTTGTAGGAAAATAGGAAGGACTCTGCAGACCAGATACTAATTAATGTAAATAATGCTCTAATCAGGCACTTTTTGGTGCACCATCTATGGTCAAAATCTTGCAGCCAAGTTGCTTATGACAGTCTTAAAAAAGAAAAAGAATAAAATCAGTACAAGACTAGTGTTTAGTGGTCTTGATCCTAGCAGGCAAATATTCCTATAATAGAAATTGCTATTAAAATTTACAGCCTTTTCAGTAGCACTTAAGAGATCATGAATGGGCTTGGAGACAGCCATCTTTAGAAGAAGTGGACCTTTCCAAGCTTGGTGTTGTGGCACGTGTGCAGGAGAGTATGATGGAAATTGGCACTGCTACGGACCATTTTGTGGCAATCAAGGCTCTCAATCCAACATCTTTTAGAAACATTAAATTCACTAAAAATAAACTCTAAAAAGTGTTGAAGTTAAAGAAACGCATGTTCAAAGTTTTGGAAGAAAGCTTAAATCAACCTAAAATAGCTAGTCAAAATGAGAGTACTGTAATTATGTAAGGGGCAGACTGACAGAACACTGTGCCCATTTTTCTATTTACCTTTTATTTGCACAAAAGTTCCCAAAATACACTGCAGCTTCTTTGAAAAGTAGTTTTAAAGACAATTGATGGTTTACAGTGAGGACTGCCTGAAATAAAGGCTATGTCTACATGCCCCAGCAGTGGGAACTACTGGGTGTGAACTACAGCGTGCTGTGCTGTAACTCCCTCATGTGGATGCTGGCATGAACTAAAAAGTACCCAGCATCACAAACTAGGTAATTTAATTTGTGCCAACAGCATCTACACAGTGGAGTTACAGTGTAGCATGCCAGCATATGCTGCAATTCACATCCCCATAGTCCAAACTGCAGGACACTTAAACAAGCCCCAAGATCCTTCAATCCAAATTTGTTGTGTTTAGTTAATAATGTTACTAGTGATATTTCAGTCTCTAAACCTCAAAAGCAATTTAAATAGTTACATAATATTGATGAATAATTGAACATGCAGTTTAGAGCACTGACTGCCAAAGATCTGACCAGCACGTCTGATGCAGTTAAGAGCAAAATTTCACATCTGATTTTGATTCACGTAACCATTAAAAGATAAAATAGGCTTCAATTACTTGTTTAGCCATGCTGTCCCTCTTGCGCCAGAACCACCATCTTCCAGATTTCTTGGGCATCTTGTCTTTAACCCAAGACTCTACTGTAGCCTGAAAATGTTTAGTTTAGTTAATTTGTGTGTATATACACATACATACACACACACACACATACACGCGCACACACACAAAAATATTAAAATTATAGTTCTGTATTACTATACATACAAGTTGCATTAAAGTACAAGTTTGTGTTAGTTTACCTTAGGCAAACTTTTCTGGAACACCTGCAAGCTGAGAATCATGGGTGCAGCCAATGCCCAATTATAGTACCTGGTTTAAGGAGATAGTCTTGATGAGAAGTTACAATAAAGGACTGAATTCAGTAGAAATAACTGATTAGTGTGCAACATACTCTTTGCTTGGTAAAAATAAAGTTTGATTTTTGTTGTAGGCTGCTCATAAAACATGAAACTAATGTTTGCTTCAGGCCAAATAGTTTTCCTAATGCACACTGTTTACTGTTAGTGACAAATACTGCAAGATCTCGCTTTAGAAGATGCAAATCTGACTTTAACCTGCAATTCAAAGGCATGTTGCATGAGCAAAAGATCACAAATACAAAATACATATGGAAATACAAGTTAGAACTGGAACTGAAAGATATAGTACCTTTAAAATGTATTACTAAAAAAGAAAGCTATAGGACATGTAAACATTTTATAGTAATGGGAAATTACCTGTTGTAAATCCTTATCACTAGATTAGGACTGTCTATGAGTCCTGGATTTTCGGCAAATTCATTGTAAGTAATAATATGTTCCATGAATTTTTCTGCAATACAAAGACATTTTATCAATTCAGTTAAACATTAACTATTTTTGCCTCCTCTTTTTGAGATTGCCTTTTGTAAGTCTGTTGTCTTGTATACAAACTAATAAATCCTTTTCCTTGAGCTTTCAATTACCTTTGCTGACTTGCTAACATCAGCCAAAAGAGATGCTGAAAATGGTCCACATCATAGGTGAAAAACGTGAAAGATCCCATGAACACTTCCTCATTTGCAGAAGGGCCTCACCTTCTAGACCCCCACTCCACCAGTCACAGTAACGAGAAGTAAAGTAGTACAAGAGGGAAGTGAGACTGATTTACTTTTTATTTTTAAAAAGAAAATGTAAGCGTATCAAATCATGAAATCTAAACATTGACCTACAAGTAACTATTTTGTGAGTGCCAATAAGTACCCATTACTGATGATAGACTTTGGCAGCAACTATGCAGTTTTACAGAAATACAGTGTTACTGAGTTAAGTCCTCCCCCCAGCGCACTAACACCCCCTTCCTCCCCCCCCCCCCGGCCCTGCATGAGGAAGATTTTTGTTAAATATAGCTTTTTATAATTCAAGTCTGATTTTTATACCTTATACAAATCACATCACTAAGATATACATTCAAAATGTGTATCGATCTTGGACTTTATAAAAAAAATTAAGCTCCCTTTGACCGCCGGAAAGGAATATTATGGCAAAACTTGAATATCGAATAAAACAGATGCTAACACTTAAAAACCCCATTATGTTCAGGAAATAAGTGACATTTAAGGAGAAAACAGTAAGAAGCATGTATGGTTAACTTTCACTTTCTACAGAGTATGAATAATCGAACAGGAAAGTAGAGACAAAACCAATGTGACTTGAAAAGATCAGGATAAGGAAATATTTTGTGAGGGGAAAGGAAGATGAATCTTCATTTCTAAAGCAGGATAGTCTAAGATGATGACATTTGCCATCCTTCCTCTTGCTGAGTAAGAGATTAAAAAGAAAGTCTATCAAGCAATGGGATACAAACAGAATTTTAAAGCTTTATACAATGGCAAAACAAGCAACGCAGAGGGAGCCAGTACCAAAGGTGGTCAGACATTTCACATATGGTGCAGCAGAAGGAGAGAAATAGCTGTGAGGAAGATAGGAGTTTTTCTTTTCTAGTTTTGGACTGATCCCCCCATAATATGAATGCACATCATCTATCCTTTGCAAATGTTTGAGAGTTTTATACTGTATATATGATTCCACAGTAGTCGATTTACTCAAAGCATATAAAATACAAGGATGTTTTCGGCTCTCTCATGCTTCCAAAATTAAAAACTAAAAGCTTCATATGGCAGTCTTCTAAAATAAGAGTACTAACAACCGGAAGTAACTTCATTAGGCTGTACTCAATTCACATTTCTGGCTTAATTTGACTTAGTTTCTTACATACCTTTAGAGATCTCTCCATTTTCACTTAGACCTCCACAGACAGAAAGCGTGACATCAGGCAAGTCCATAGCAGAATCAGACATGCACTCTGTGCCACTGTCAGCAGCAGCACTTCCCACGGACTGTGGTGACTGGGAACCAGAGAGGGTATCCGACTCAGTCCACTGTCTGGAACTTGGATCAGAATCACTAAAGGAAAGGAGTTCACATTTTGTGTATGTAATTCTCTTGCATATACATATGTATGTATTTTAAGTTATATGCAACCACAGTATTACGTACAGCACATGATACAAAACGCAGTCCCAGCACTATATATTCTTGTATTTCAAATATATTTTGTTACAAAATTAAAGATTTGTTCTACAATCGCCAAATTTTCTTTTCTGAAAAAGGAAATCTGAGTATCTGTGCACTCAGATGTTCACAGAAGGTATTTTCTCTCACTAACATTTCCTTTCATCTCAGGACTGAATATTAAAATGGAATGTCAGCTGCTCTACCATTACTGACATATTCTTTGTGATAGGAACTTATTTTGTAATGATCCAGACCAAACCATCAGGCTCTAATAAATAGATAGAGATTATTTGTCCAATGGTCTGAAAACTGAATAGGTACATGGACCTAAAGATCAGTAATTAAATAACTTTTTTTTTTTTAAAGATAAACTCTTGATAATGCTGAAATAACTACTTTAAGCTCATGATACTAGGAGTAGTTTCTTGACAAGAAAACTAACAGAGATTTACATTTATATTTCCAGTGTTAGAATGTTAAGTTTTGATTTTATGAAGGCCTCAGTGCCACTCCAACACTTTGTAAAAATCAGGAGGAGTTTAGACCATTTGTGCATCCTAGAGCTGGTCCACACTAACCCCCCAGTTCGAACTAAGATATGCAACTTCAGCTACGTGAATAACGTAGCTGAAGTTGAAGTACCTTAGTTCGAACTACAAGGTACTTACTGCGGGTCGACACACAGCAGGCAGGCTCCCCCGTCGACTCCGCATACTCCTCTCGCGGAGCAGGAGTACCAGTGTCGACGGCGAGCACTTCCGGGATTGATTTATCACGTCTACACAAGACGCGATAAATCGATCCCAGCAGATCGATTGCTTACCGCCGAACCCGGAGATAAGTATAGACGTACCCCTAGATTATGGTTGATACAGTTTAAGACTGGCAACTGCTTAGCACAGGAAGGGAAGAGTTTTGTTAAGAGTTAAAGAGTTTTGTTCTTTTGCAGCTCCCAACTGCAGCTCATGTGGTTAGCAGACTTTTTGTAAGTGATACTACAGAAAGTAGAGTCTTGAGGCAAAGACAAGCGAACTAATTCTTGTTTCTTCAAAAGACGATTGCTGTGCTGCTATGCTCAGAGTTGTCTCCTTTCACTAACTCCCTTTTAAGCAAATTAAAACCTTGATTATCCAGGTTCACTTATCTATAACCCTATTAACGCTCCTGTTCCCTGGAGCGTTGGAAAAGAGCAAGGATCAACATTATTGGAGAAATGGTTCTCTCAAGACTAACTCAATGGAGCTCGTCCTGTTCCCTCACTTCTTCCAAAACCAGCCACTTCCCCACATGAAGGAACGCTACAGTTGGAGGGAGAGGCTTCAGTCCTGCTCCCAAGAACTGCTGCAGTCCTATTTGCCCCGCCCCCCCTCCATCCTGATCCCCCCTCCCACCATTTTCTCTCAGCCAGTTCCCAAGCTACAGAGAAGTTCTGAGCTCAATAGAGCTTAGGAGCAACTCTTCAGCTACAGAGGCATCTTGCAGGAAAAGAAAAGCGGCGGGAGAATGAGGAGCAGGACAGGATTACTGGCTCTCCTATGGCTACTAACCCTAAACCACAACTTCTAAATTTTGGTCATGCATAGATCCTTTGTAGTTTTCGAGCCAGCTGGGAAAGGAGGAGCAGACCAGCAGTCTAAAAATATGTGCTCAAGTTAGTGTTCAGGTCCAAAGCCTGCTAGCTGGCTCCCCCAGTTATCTGAAGGATTTGGATGCCCCTGAAACCTTCAACTAATCCATGCTTGGCTGTAGCAAAATACTGTTTTAATAAACATTATTTTCGTTAGCCTTTATTATACTGTGGAATACAGTCTCTAAGCAAACAACTGAGTGAGTCAATTATACTGGACAAAATACATGAGAAAACGCTGCACTGATGACAATCCTGCCTTTGACAAGGGGATAGACTAGATCAGCTTTTCCATATCACCCCATGTTACCACAGGAAAGTGTCAGGATCCCTCAACATCTAGCTATAAAGAAAAGGAAAGTGGTAGCAACCCCATGAATCCTGTTTGTGATATCCCGGAGGTCTTAACCCACAGGCTGATAACGTGCAGGCTTGACGGAAGAAGCCCCCAGTACTGGGCCATGATTCTGATGGCACAATTGCACCCCACCATAATTTTGAACTCCATCAATTTTGACAAAATTGTAAGTTTGCCCCCAATATTCCCTCAAGCTCACATGATCAGATCCAATTTAAGAGAACAGGCATTATAGTATACAAGTTTCCTCCACCAGTTCTACATGCCACTATTTGCACTACTCATTGCTAAATTTCTCTGCAGAAATTGGTACAAAGCACCCCTGATCATATGGGATGCAACCCTGAGGCTAACAGTTAAATTCATTAAGAGAGTAAAACCGTTAGATATATCATATTTCACCTTTTCTACTGCTACTGATTCTCTCTGAAATGAAGCAGATATATTAGATGCTTTATGACCGTTTGTAAAGCCTGTAGAATTGAGATGTTTCCTTTTAAAGGTCTTCTTGGAAAGACATACTGGAGAGTATCTTAGCAGTTAAAACATTTTAACTACATAGAATATGAAAAAGGGTTAACTCGGTTACATACGTTTTCTTACGAAATAACTCTCAGTTTATATAGTAACACTAAGGATACACATTTCACTCCATGAAAACAGTGATGCCAGTTACATGGGAAAACACATTAGCACTAAGACAAATCACTGGGAATAATACTGCCTCCGAAAATAGCTATATAGTTTAAAGTTTCCCACAAGGCCCCAGCACTTTCTCGGTTCAGTTGGGATAGAAATACCACAATAGCAATCTTTCACATCATATTTCATTGTCTCTCCTTCTTGCCAAAATCAGAAGCAGAGAGATATACAGAACAAGTTCAATATTGATTTATCCTATTATATACTCTAAAAGCTCAAAAGACAGGCTTGAATTTTGAACAAGGATTGGCTCAGTTCTTTTATCTCAATTGGCTCACCCACTGCTAAAACTAACAGATAAATTATTTTGCAATATAAGCCTTGCCATATTAGAACACTAACTCCAAGCTACCTTTTGGGAAAGTAGAGTGCAGCAACTTCAGGTTCCAAAGCCTTCAAGTCATCCAAGTAAATATCATGAGGCCCCTGGTGTTGGCTTCGCTTGTGCGCCCCTGTTGATTGTCATAACAATTAGGTGGTTTGAGATTAATACATGTATTAAATACAGTGCTGTGGGAGACACGGTTTTCTGCACTTTGAACATTGTTCATATAGGAATCTAACAGGAATGCCTGCAGGTTAGTTGGCCTGTAGTCTGTGAGGTTTTCTGGTTGCTTTTTTAAAATTAAAAATGTTAGTTGTATTTAAATCTCAAAATTGAAACTGTAAAGCTACAGTTTTGGGATAACTTCATCAAATTTCACAGAACCCTCTGTGGGAATGTACCAGTTCTTTTAAATACAAAATGAATACCTTTCTTTTTTGAAGGAGAGTCAATTTTTGCTGGTGGTTTTGCTTCTGAAGGACTATCTCCTAATGGGCTGGGGAGATGATCAGCATCTAATGTAGATGATTCTTGAGGGATCTCCAGCAGAGGTTCTATGACTGCAGACGCAAGAGAATCTTTAACCTCTATTTGCTTAAACAGGGGATGAGTTCTTGGCTCAGGTTTCAGTACCGTACAGACAGAATCTTTCACCAAAAAATCATCTTCAACTTCATCAGAGCTGAGAATGACCCTAAAATGAGTCTTTTCTGATGGGGTAATGGTAGCTGTTCTAGGATGCTCCAATTTGTCCTTCTTGCTTATCTGAAAAGAAGAAAGATCTTGTTCTCATGTACTTTCATTCAATATGTCATTTATTTTATTCAGCTCTGAACATTAGCTAACAAGTGCTTATAGTAATTATGCCAGAGATACTACTTTTCAAACCAAAGAAGTCAAAAGCCTGCTGGATTAAACTTTAATGTACCTTTTAGCAACTTCACATGCAGTCTCATTAATAAAGTCCCAGCAATGCCAACCACATAGGAACTTGTTCACCAGTTTCAGAGTATAAAAATCTGTCCATGTTTCTATATTCTAAGCTCTTCCACAATTCAAGTTCTTCCTGAAGGCCCACCTCTACCATGTGCCTACAGGAAGCTTCCTGACTGACAAGCTTGAAGAGTAATATGTGAATATTTGTCGTCATTTTAATTTATGTTTTATACTTGCACTTTTTGTGTTTACACATACTGTATATATGTTACATCATGTCTCCTGCCCTCTACTTATTTACCTAGATTGTGAACTCAGGCCAGGGACTGGGCCTTTTTCTCTTAGGAAAGCACCTAGCACACTGTGGTGCTACAATAAATGCCTGGCTAAGACACCATTTAGCATATAAAAACGAGGAAACCTATTCAATCCCCCTTGTCACTGGGGAGGAATGTATGAGTAATTAGCACAACCTGAATTCACGACGCTGTATTAAAACAGACCTCATTAAAACCAGCTCTCCATTTCCCCATTTTGAATGTGATTAGGTCACTTTTGAAGAATTGCAGTGACAAATCTAGATAGGTTTTTGACACATTCAAACTAACCCTGACTTTTCAACTGATGATGATAGATCATTGCTTATAGTCAAAATGTCTCCTCTCAATAATACCCCAATTTTTAAAAATATTCATGTACAGCCTTTTTCCAAAAGCACTGTTGTATGAATGGGCCCAGTGAACTTCACTAAGGCTCTGCAACAGAACGGCGGTCCACTCACCCAGAGCTGTCTATGGGTTTAGGGCCTAAATTTCATCATCTCTTGAGGGTACAGAGAAGGTACTACATTATACTTCCCTGCCTCAGTTTGGACAACAGTGGATTTATGTCAGGCTTCTACCGGGGCAGGCCAGGAGCACTTATAAAGGGGGCTGTCTAAGGATGTACAGATCCAGCAAATTTCTTCACCTGTCCTATTCAGGACCTCTCCTATGTGGGGCTGCATTTGGTAGCTAAAAGTCCACAACGTGAGGGTGAGCAGCCATCAAGTTCCCTATATTAGAATTTGCACATGATTCCCCTGGAATGAGCCTGGTCCTATCTTTTACAAAAAAGGTTACTAGACTTGATCATTCCTGTTGCATCTAATGCATCATTTAAAAATTATCTTCTGTTTCTAGCAGCAAATTAGAGAGCTACAGATTTTTACTCTAAAAATCATTCTGGAAGATTTTTGCAGCCCTGCTTTTGAAATCAATAAAAAGCCTTCAGCTTAGCCAGCCACAAGAGGGTGCTGTTTTCATGTTATTTCAGTTGAATTATTTACAATTGCTCAGTTTTCCTCAATAGTCTAATGTGAAATCTAGAGTTTTAAGTTTTAAGGAAGACAAAATTCAGTCACATTAAAAGTCCCAGACAGTATATAAAATTCATCTGTAAATAACTTTACCTTAGTAGATTCTGGGAATCCTCCCCATGTCCACTCCATATGAGATTCAGCTCTAAGCAAGCTCTCTGCAGGTTTCACTTCTAGCTCTGAATCACTTTTAGGACAGACTGGGTCTGAGAAAGGGCTATCAAAGTAAACACAGAAAACTACAGTATTTAAAATGCGTTTGTTGTGCAGCTACTTTTGTTAGCCTTCCCTAGTTTAACACAGGTTCAATTATTCAACAACAGGGCAAGAAGCCCAGTTGGGTTTTCAGACCAAGAAATTAGGTTAAAACGAAAATCACATACAGGGGCTTACATACTGATCACACTAAACAGATTTCTTCATTGTACTTGAAGTGTTCTCAGTATAATCCCCCACAATTCTCTCTCTCTTTTTTTTTTTAAAGTTTAGATGATTTAGCTGCCATCATGAAACAGATGTACTTCCTCCTGTTAATTTAGAATATGTTTTAAATTCCCATGTTCCAGACAAGAGATAGCATTCCAGTTTACAAAGCCTGAAAAGTTTCATCCATGACTAAAGTCTTATTACTGCAAGTTAAGTTAAATAGATGGTTACATTCCAATATACAACAGCATACAGCAGTACACTCCACCCCCATCAGGGTTGAGTGGGGACAAAACTAGTAGAGCATATGATCAAATCAGGGAAAATATTGTGTGTTTACTTGAAAGTTTCCTTAGAATAATGAGGTCCAGATACATTACAGTGGTATTTCAGCCTGCTTGCAGCTTGGAGACAGACCCACACCCCTCAATCACTGATGATAGGAGAATGCCTACTAATTTTTGAAAACTGGACCCCTCCTGCCCCCCCCCCCGACCCCTATCCCACCTCTTCCCCCAAGCTCCCACCCCCTCTTGCTCCTCTGCCCCCTCCCACTTCCTCATCACTTGATCCTCTCCACTTTCCTCTCCCACCCAGCTGGGCTTCTGCTCAGGGGCTGGGACAGGAGCTGTAACCTGACACGGAGCCTGCTGCCTGCCCATGAAATGCAGGCACAAGGTGGCCCTGGCTGAGGAGGGGCTAGTGTGGGTTGATAACTTAGCGCCACCTGCCCCGGCCCATGGTGACTGGACACTGCCAGGTCCCCTTTTCAACTGAACTTTCAATTGAAAGCCAGACTCCTGGCAACCCTAAGAATGCCCTGCCCCTTGAATTTGCCTTCAATTGAGACAACTTTGACAGGCAGGATAATTCAATTCTACTTTCCTAAATTACAATATGGGTACTGTTCTAAATAGCAACATGCCTAGGACCTTGTGAGGCTGGAATAAGGATGGTTACTTGAAGGAAGCATTTAGTCTTGGGATTTACAGAAAATTTTCTTTTCTTGAATATGCTGATAACATATTACAGAAACTTGACGTTTTGCTTGAACATTCATACACCCACAGTGAGTTCCTCTAGGAGGGCTGTTAAGCCCTGTTTCATCGGTTTAATGTGCTAGTTAAACATTGGTCTTTGCTACTGATTGACTTTTTAGGGTGCATGAGATTATCACGAGTGTGATAATCATCCAAGCATTGATTTTGAACCTGTCTGGTCCTGGTTGGAGGCAGACTCATCAGAAGATCCAATGCTAAGTTAATTAGGTGCAAGAGCAACAGCTTCTTCAGCCAGAAAGCCAATAGTATCATTGCTGCTCTCTCCTTCGTATATTTTGTATGGTCCTGGGGAGTAGTGGAAAAAAGCAATTTCCCAGCTTTGGAAGAAGTCATTTCACTACCTCACATCCCAGGTCATGATACAAGGACAGGACACAGGGCAGTTTATTGCTGTTCCCGATGCAAAGAGATCAATCCCCATCCCGCCAAACAGATTTAATATGAGTGAGGATATTTCTAGGTGCAGGTTCCACTCTGCTTAATCCATCTTCTGTTATGTAAGTCTTGGTGTTCATCTCCACCTGGATTGGCAATGCAAAAGGAAACTTTGCTCCACGCAGAACTGGAGGAGGGATGATGGTTTATTCCCTTCAGACATTAACTATCATGACAAGAACAAGTTTGCTATCCACGGAAGGAACAGTGCTCAGATACTTCAATGAAACACTGTACTCCAACTGATGGATTCTGTATTGCACACAAAGAACCGGAACAAGCTGGAGGCTTGCTCCTCTTGACTGTATACTTTAACACTTGAAAAGCTCAAAGCTCCTGCTAACCATTTTGTAAGGCAAAGAGTAGGAGCCAAGTCTTCCTTCTCCTTCCCCAACAGCCACCCCCTTTGAATACGTCAACTGGAATAATTAATTGAATCAAAAGCACACCCAAAGCTTTGCCCAAATACTTTAAAAGGTCAAAACTCCATCTTTTTAAGAGGCCATGAATCCCACTGGCAAATGCAGTTAAATTCTTGTTTCCACCACCACCCCTGCCCTGACAGTTTTTTTAATTCGCTAAAGGATCCCTCAGCCACCAAAATTGCTCTCTATCCCCAAAATTGGTAGATCGCCTCATGCACTAGAGAGGAAGGATGATTTTATGGTTAAGGAACTGGACTAGGAAACAGCTTTACCCCAGACTTGCTGTGTGATCTTGTGCAAGTAACTTAGTCTATCTCAATTCCACATCTGTACAATGGGGAAAATATTCCTCTATCTCACAGCTGTGTTGCGAAGATAAATTCATTAATTCTTATGAAGAGCACAGACACCATAGCAATGAACGCCAAATACCTGTTAAGGCTAAAGCTCCAAAAACCTGGAGATTTTATGCAAATATAACTGGCTGCTCCTCTGCTCTGGACTGGGGGTTTGTCTAGAGTTTGTGGTCCTGTTTTAATTTGAGTAATTTGTCATTTAACTCAACTTAACAAAAGTTAGTACAAATGTTAGCCTAGGCACTTCCAAATGTTTACTCTGTGACACACATATTTGTGGCTGACCTTAGGTTGAGTGCTTGGGAATCTGCCCTCTTCCTGTAATTTATTAGGTGTGAATAAAATGATCAGCTACAGTTTTATTTTTTCCCTGGTGAACTTTAACAGCAGCTTTTGTTCATTCAGAAAGGATGATACAAGTACAACAGTTTTTTGGTTTTTTTTCAACAAACGTAAATTTACACATAAATGGTGCACAGTCTTTGAGCCCGTGCTAAGTTGCAAATGCAGTCCTGGATGCCACAGATGTTGAGCACCCTTCTTTATGTAGTTTTATAGGTCAGAAGAAGTTACGGAGGTGGTGCATTACATAACATAAGAGTACAAAATCATACAGAAAGATGACACCATAAAATGACCTACTTCTCCAAAGGGGACCAGTCTCCATCAGATAAAGGGTAATGATCCTTGGAGTGATAAATCAAAGGCTCTTTCTGCTCTTCACTCTTTGGTGAAGAATTTGAGGATCCTCTGTGGAGACAAAAGAACCATTTTTGTTTTAAGTGAGTCAATGACAGATCTCCACTGGCAACTTACCTAGTGGAACTGAATTATTTTTTACCAGAAATCTTAGGTCAAAAAGAGAAAGGAAGAGACTGACTGATAGTTGAGAAAGACTGATAGTTGAGAGATAACTAAAGAAAGAGCAATAGTTCATCATCAGAGGTGCTGCTTTCTTGCCTACACAGCCATTTTAATACCTGTAAAAAAGATCCTAGCAAAGTTTAAAAATTACCCCCACCACATATTTAACTAAACAATTTAGTGTTAATCTAAAGATCTCACAAACATATACCAAGTGATGCCATCCTCCACAAGCTCGCTGTTTAGTATGTAAGCAAAAACTGAAATTGGGGAAAATTTCAAGCACAATGTTGATGATCCTCACCAAAAGCCTCCAAAAATCTATTAATTTAGAATACTACAACAAAGGAATGCCCAAAATAGATTTGACACTGTATTCTTTGAATATTAGCCTAGTTTGTGGATAATGAAAAAAAAAAAAGTTATTGGTAAGTCACATAGGACCTAGAAGTTAGCCAGACTAACACTGGATACTACTATTAGTTGCCTCAAGTATGTTTATGAGCAGAGGATGTAACTGGGTTAATTTCCCAACACCAGGCCCAACTGTGATGTCAAAATGAATTTTACTGAAATTTACTGATGCCGCTAGCTTATCCGTTTCAATATACAGGAAGGAGGTAGTTCTCGTTTCTTTAGCAATAATCCAGAAGGACCTGCAAGCACTTAAATTAAAATCTGGTTTGAATTACAGAAGTCAATTTTGGGGAGTCTAATTAATATCTAATGGATCATATGTATTTGATACTACTGAGTTTATTCCAGAGGTTTTTAGGTACACTACAAGCAGCATGGTGCCAGCCAGAGATGAGGGATTGAGATATTTGAATACCACACACCAATGCAGTAGTATCTTGCACAACACTTGTTTACTTTACCTACATTCTTTCAGATATACTTATTATGAGAGAATGGCAGCTGCCTCATAGTTAAAAGCTGCATTACTGTTTGCTTAAAGCCAAATTCTGATGCCCTTAAAATGGGGGTGGGCAAACTACGGTCCACGGGCTGCATCGGGCCCATCAGAACTTTTAATTCAGCCCTTGAGCTCCTGCCAGGGAACGGGGTTGGGGGCTTGCCTCGCTCTGCGTGGCTCCCAGAAGCAGCAGCATGTCCCCCCCTCCGGCTCCTACGTGAAGGGGCAGCCAGAGGGCTCCGCATGTTGTCCCCGCTCCAAGCACTGGCTCTGCAGCTCCTATTGGCTGGGAACCGCTTGCGGATGGGGCAGCGCACAGAGCCACTTGGCCATGCTTCCATAGTAGCCAGAGGGGGGACATGCGGCTGCTTCTGGGAGCTGCTTGAGGTGAGCGCCGCCCAGAGCTTGTACCCTGACCTCCTCCCATGTCCCAACCCCCTGCCCCAGCCCTAATCCCCTTCCTGCCCTCTGAATCCCTTGGTCCCAAGCCTGGAGCACCCTTCTGCACCCCAAACCCCTCATCCTGGGCCCCACCCCAACCCCCTGCCCCAGCCTGGAGCCCTCTCCCGCACTCTGAACCCCTCAGTCCCCAGCCCGAAGCCTCCTCCCCCACACCCCAACCCTCTTTCCCCAGCTCAGAGCCCCCTCCCACACCCATAACCCCTCATTTCTGGCCCCATCCTGGGACCCGCAACTCCAGCCAGAACTCTCACTCCCTCCCACACCCCAACCCCCAATTTTGTGAGCATTCATGGCCCGACATACAATTTCCATATCCAGATATGGCCCTCAGGCCAAAAAGTTTGCCCACCCCTGCCTTAAAAGGTGACTTGAAAGACAGCAGTTTTCTCCACCACAATCAGAACACTTCTGTATATTTAACATCTTCAGGTCAGGACTGCTTTTTAGTGTTCTATAAAGTGACATATACATTTACAGCATTATGTAAGTGTGCTCTGTAGTGTGTTGCCAGCCTGACCAGCCCCATGGGACTGATTGCTAGGGACATGAGTGATAATTTTGATGGAAGACACTAGCTTAAACAAGATTTGGCATTTGCACTGGGATCCAAAATTCAATTCTGAAAGATTCTGAAGAGTGCTGGAAGAAGTCAAATTACAAATATAATTTGTTTGTATTTTTGAGGAAAGAACTCTTGGACTTCCACATTCTAGAACTTATTGAAACCTACTCTGACTCAAGGGTACCTTACATAAGAGAAAAAGTTAATACACAAGCCACAGTACGAAGCCTTAGTGATACCACATGAAAGCATTCAGTATGTATTTAACAATTTACCTCAGATGTTGAACACCCCTCTCGTCATCGGAGCTGATTTCTATTTCAAAAATCTCTTCAACCCCAGAAGAGGAGATCTGATCTTCCTTCTTGCTATCTTGTTTATATTTCTTTCTTCTTCGCTTTTTCTTCTTCACAGACCCTGAGGTGAACAGAGTCTCTGTTTCCATGATGTGTGTAACTTCAGAGCTCTGACATGTCCTTTCATTTTCACCCGACTTCAGCAAGAGATCTTCAATCTCTTTAAAGAACTGATCCTCAGTGATTATTGGGGAGGTTGCCAGATATGCAGGAACTTTTTCCTAACCAAAATAAGGGGAATAATAAATAAGCAGATACATTATTATGTACACAAACAGAATAACAAAAGGTTAAATAAATGTGGGGGTGCAGTGGGGTGGGAGAGGTGAGCAGCATCAAGGACTGACTGGCAGATATGGCAAATTTCCTGCCTGATCAGCAATACTGCCCCACATGACTGACTCCTGGGAGACCTTATTGAAATTAAATTTAAGTATCTTTGAAGTCCACTGCACCTAAAGGCAAAATTTACATCTTATGGGCTGGAATTGTGTGTAATATGCCAGGCAAGAATGGACTTTAGGATAAGTGTGAAGTGGATTTTCTGGGGAATACCTAGGGAGAAATTAATGCAAATTTCACACCTCTGGATATGCAGAAATCCAGGCTTTTGAAGATACGTCCTGAGGTGTGGGTCTTTGCTCATTACCTGTTCCAGACAGTAGCGGGTTTACAATGGCACCAAAGGCACCAGGCCCACACTGGGAAGGAGCCCTTTATGGACTTAGGGTCTGGCTCCTTGCTCGGGGCAGCCCATGGCCAAGGCCCTGCTGTGTGAACAGCTCGAAGCCAGCAGGTCCCAGTCGCCTGTAGGCAGCTCGCCGACCAGCAGCTGGGCTCTGCTATGTGGGCTGGGAAGGGTTGCTGGCCGGTGGGCGCAACCGGGGGAAGGGGGCTCTGAGGAGTCACGTCCCAGGGATCTGCCCTGCTCCCCACTGTGGTTCCAGCTCTGAGCAGTCTCTGCTGTCCGCCAGCTGCAGGACCCCCACCTGTGTACCCAGAGGCCAAGTCACCTGGGACTGGTGCAGGGGCTGGCTGTCTCAGACAGTTTGTGGGGAAGGGGCGGGGGAGGGGGGAAAGAGTAGAACAGAGGCTCAGCCAAGCCCCACCAGGCAAGTGGGTCCGGAGGGAATGCAATCTGGGCAGGCCCCACTCTGGCTTGGGCCTGGCTGATCACACCGCTCCCGAGGGTCCACATCCTGGGACTGGCCCCAGCTGCACTGTCAGCTCAGCCCAGTGGACACAGTCACCTCCCAGCAGGGCTGGTGAGTGCGGCTGGCCATGGGGGAGTGGGTCTCCGGTGGGTGCTGGGCAGTGGGGGAGGTCTGTGCGTGTTGGGGTGCTGGGCTTGGGAGGGCCACTAGGCTGTGGGCGGGGAGAAGGAGGGAAGGTCTGTATGTGTTGGGGCACGTGGGGGGGGGAGGCCTGTGGGGTGTGCGAGTGAGCAGAGGTGGTGGGGTGCAGTTGTAGTGGGGTGTTGCTGGGCATAAGGAGTTAGGGCGGCGCTTTGGCAGCACAGGGCCAGGTTGGACAGTGTGCATCTGGCAACTGCCAGTTTGTAAACTGTGTGCTCATGTTCAGCTGGGCGGAGTAGGACCACCCCCGCCACATCGAGGCCCACTGCACGCGGTCGGCCCCTTACTCTGGGGGCTAACCCCCTCTCACACACACTATGCCCCTTTGCTCCTATGGGGGCCAACAAATATGTTTGGTGCCAGGTCCACAAAAGTTAATCTGGCCCTGTTTCCAGAGAGTGGAGATCAAAGGCCTGAGCTGTACAAAGAAATGGCTGAACTGCCCAGCCTGGGTTCTAGTTCTGAATCTGAAACAGTTTTGAACTTGTAACCAAGGTGAAAACCCAGTTGAGGGCTGACCTCCGATAAGCTTTTTAGCATGCATGTAGATTTTTTGTTTTTAATTTGTTTTCTCTGAAAAGTTTTGACTTTAAAAATAAATGTGCTTGCTTAGAAAGAGTTGTGTGGTAATTAACAACTGTGAGCAATATGCTGGTTAGATTCTGGAGAGAAAGCAAAGTGCGGGTGCTGGCTTGTTTAGGCAGCCTGGCTTGCTGGGGATATCAGTGTGGGCATGGAACCATGCAGCCTGGAAAACCCTAATCAGGATTAAATGAGACACACATCTGTGCCCAAGAGATATGATGGCTGGGAGCTGGAAATCATTAAGTGGGTGTCTTCAAGGAGTGGGAATACAGATGCAGTTACCCTGAAACTGTGACACTGAGAATCGCATCATTTTTCTATATAGTATCTAGTATGTTTTTGGCATTACTGTAATATTAATAAGAAATGTTCATTAGAGAGACAAGGTGGGTGAGATAATATATTATTTCATGTTATAGCAATCTCAGATGATGACCCCAGCACACGTTGTTTGTTTTAAGAACATTTTCACTGCAGATTTGACAAAACACAAAGAAAGTACCAATGGGAGATTTCTAAAGATAGTACAGCACTCGACCCAAGGTTTAAGAATCTGAAGTGCCTTTCAAAATCTAAGAGGGACTAGGTGTGGAGCATGCTTTCAGAGGTCTTAAAAGAACACTCCTATGTGGAACCCGAACCATCAAAAAAGAAAAATCAACCTTCTGCTGATAACATCTGACTCAGATGATGAAAACGAACATGCATTGATCTGCACTGCTTTGGATCGTTATAGAGCAGAACCCCTCATCAGCATGGACACATGTCCTCTGGAATGGTGGTTGAAGCATGAAGGGACATATGAATCTTTAGGGTATTTGGCATTTAAATATCTTGAGACGCTGGCTACAACAGTGCCATGTGAATGCCTGTTCTCACTTTCAGGTGTAAACAAAAAGTGGCAGCATTATCTCCCGTAAACGTAAACAAACTTGTTTGTCTGAGCAATTGGATGAACAAGAAGTAGGATTGAGTGGACTTGTATGCTCTGAAGCTTTATATTGTTTTGTTTTTGAATGCAGGTTTTTTCAGATTTTTTTTTGTTTGTTTTTTACATAATCCTACATTTGTAAATTCAACTTTCATAATAAAGAGATTGCACTACAGTACTTGCAATGGGGAAATTGAAAAATACTATTTCTTTTGTTTTTTACAGTGCAAATATTTGTAATATAAAATAAATATAAATTGAGCACTGTACACTTTGTATTCTGTGTTGTAATTGAAATCAATATATTTGAAAATGTAGAAAACCATCCAAAAATATTTAAATAAATGGTATTCTATTATTGTTTAACAGTGTGATTAAAATTAATTGTGATTTATCATAATTAATTTTTAATCGCTTGTCAGCCCTAATCAAATTAAATTAAATTAATAGAGATATCTTATCTCCTAGAACTGGAAGGGACCTTGAAAGGTCATTGAGTCCAGCCCCCTGCCTTCACTAGCAGGACCAAGTACTAATTTTGCCCCAGATTCCTAAGTGGCCCCCTCAAGGATTGAGCTCACAACCCTAGGTTTAGCAAGCCAATGCTCAAACCACTGAGCTATCCCTCCCCCCAGCATAATATAGTATGCTGCCTTAAGATTGAAGTCAGGAGTGAGAATAAAAACAAAGGATGCTTTTAAAGATCTTATTTAAGAAATGAAGTGTGCAAATCACATTACAGTATTCCTGAAAGCAGGACATAAGGGATCTCAATTAAGATCCAAAAACAGCTTCATGTCCATTTCCCAGCTGAACATTTTACAGCAAAAAGGTAAGAGGTTCAATGGCCTTTCCTATCATGATGCAGATGTTTCTTCCAAATAACTAAATGGATCTGTAACCAGACTGCTCAGCTTTCAGAATATCTTGGCAGCCCTTTTCAGGTCTTGAACTTTACGAATATACTATATACATGTATGAAGTGTTAGTAATCTGAGACACTTGGGAACGAGCTCTCTTATTAAGGGGCTGAAGTGTCCAGTGGCTGTCTGTGCATCTAGCACACTACGGCATAGTTTAAAAGAAAACTGAAAACTAAGTGTTGGTGAGACAGAATGAGCAGCTGAAACAAAGAGGAAATATCAAATATTTCAGCTAGACAGGGGACTAGAAACCAGGACGCCTCAATTCTATTCTCAGTCCTGCAACTACTTTTTCTGTTGCCTTTATGTGTACCTGTACCTACTAATAGTTATCTGGAACACTGCTATACACAGGGCCGGCTTTAGGCCGATTCAGCCAATTCAGCTGAATTGG